ACAACACCACCATGTTTGCATATGTTTGCACTCAAACTTGTCTTGCAGATTCGCAGGGAGTCTGATTACAACTCCAAAGATAAAATGAAGTACGATGCATAACGGCCATTGTACTTGGTTCGTTTTTATTCATCAAATATGTATATATATATATATCATTAAATATATATATATATGTATATGTGTATAAATATTCATCCTCAGCCAAGATTCATGACGGTGAGTGAACCAAGCAGAATAAATAACAGGACCAGCACCCCGAGGATCCAGCTTTCTTCTGCCAAGGATTTGAAAAAGACTTCTTGATCCGGCACGATGCAGTGCAGGATCAATGAGACGATGGCATCCCTGACAGACTGCACAAGTGGCGACACCCAATGGCTTGAAGCGGCTTGAGGTATCTCCCATCTTGGGACAGACCCATTTTCATTTGTCTAGCCCTTGGTCCTACTCAACTCTATACCTAGCAATTGGATTGTTGAGGAATCAAATGGAGCCAAAACACTTCAGACCCAAAAGATCCCAAAAGATCCCAAAAGAACATCAAGCTCAAGGGTCATGAGCCAATGAGTTTCTGGGGATCATCTGAATTTTAAACCTTGGTTTTTTGGTAGCTCGTCCGAGCAAAAACCCATGGAAACCACAACCACAAGAACCACAAGAACCACAAGAACCACAATTATCAGGATTCAATCCCCTTGGCCCATATTTGGGGGATACAACATGTGAAGTCCCAATCACCTTCCCCTCATCCTCCACATCTCACGCCAGGCGTCGGAATCGATCGGAAGTACTCCTGTTCCAAAGGGGTGTGTGAGCTGAGCTCCAGAAAAGCGATACTGAAGATGAAGGTGATGATCAGCAGAAGCCTAGGCGACACATCAGTCGCTTTTCGCGGCGAAACACCGGGAGCTCCAATGAAAACCCCAACTGTCGGGTCGACGGAAGTTGGAGACAAGCAGCATGAGCGTGAAGAAGACCGATCGACAAGCCACAATCATCCCTTTGATCAAAATCATCAACCTTGGTGGCAATTCGCTGAGCAACTTGCAGCTGGCATTGTTGAGACATTCCGAGACCCAAGGGGCGGCGTTACATGCAAGAAATTAATAAGGACTGCTGACTGATGAGGCATTACGCAACATCGAATCTTTGCTGCACATAGAAAGGCAGTAGCATACGTGTGGCGGATCTGCATGTGTGTGTGTGTGCGTGAATCATTCGCGCAGCCTTTTTGCCCCTGACCAGATTCTCTGGTGAACAGCTCCATTAGGAAACTGTTTCAAACTAGCCGATGTTATATGAAATGTTTTCTTGGGACAAGGCCCACAGAAAACAGGGTCAGCATTGGGTTTACTTTATGAATTCAATGATTACCATGGTGACCCCTGTCTTCTTTTCCAAAAAATCACCATAGTTTGATGACTAAATGTTTGTGATGGCTAAAGCCCCTAAGTTCGATGCTTAAACCCCATACGGCCCATACATTGCAATAGTTGAAGACCCATACGTTTGATGATCAGATGTTCATGGGTTGATCACATCAGTTACCCCATGCCATCCCATGGTCTATCATTATTGTCCCCGCCAAAATTGCCATAACTTTGAGGCCCAAAAATGTACCATTTACTGTATGCGTATAGATATTTGCAAGATACATGTTAGACCTCATGTATTTGTGATAACAACTATTCCATAAATCCTCTGATACTAACAATGCTTTGTATTATATTGTATCATACTCCAATCCACAGTCCCTCATTTGAACTGGTTTGGGCTATATACCTTGCCCCAATTCCTGAATGTCTAAATATGTCTAAACCATATTAACCCCCATTTGTCAGGGTTGCTCCCCACACCCCAGATACAAGAGGTAAATTTGGTAAATACAGAGGTCAAGTCACCAATTTACTGAAAAGTGGCTATCATTTGTCTACAGTAGGTCGGAGCAGCCCTGAATGATTATCAATAATCACTCTGTTTATTTGCTTTGCCATATGGAGGTGTCCAATCCATAGGGGTACCCCCGAAATCATCTAAGTCATGGATGACCATGGCTTTGTATTGAAACCCATGGTGACTTGGGGATCCCCCATTTTGAAACTCCGCCATATTCGACCATACCAGGCAGCTCCGGAATCAATCGGACCAACCTGGCCATGCGCGCTGTGCGCAAAACCCGTAGAATCCGCGCCATGCGCCAAGCACCGCTGACGTCGTTGTGGTCCTGGCTGGAACTCAAAAAAGTCGCTTGTAATGTGGGTAAAACAATGCCATAAACCACCCATGACTGGGAATGGTAAACATCCCACCTATAAAGATGGTGATGACTGGATTGTAACTCAAATCTCACAAGCCGAGGTACGGAGACCACCACAAAGGGCATAGCCCAGGTCTCCCACATCATCAGCAAAACAAGAGCCAAGTCCTGAGTTCCCAAGGCTAGCTGGGAACCAATTCGAAATGCTTAAGGTGGATGTCCCCACCGGGTAAAAACGACTGGTTCGCCGGAAAATCCACGAATATTCACAGCGATTTGTTTTAAGGGAACACCATCTATGAATCGGGCATCTTACAAGATATCATAGGTATGGGTCAAGACTTTAACACCTGTTCACGATCCAACGTGATGGTTACAAATTGTTGGCTGGTGCCCTTGTCCAATCAACACAATCAATCAAGAGGCAAAAAGGAGGTGAAATCAGAGATCATCAAGTGGTGTTGTTCATGAGTAACTTGGGTTCAGTCACCCCAATTACAAGTCACGAGAGGGTGTATTGTGGCATGCTGGGGCCAACTAGGCAGGTAGGAATATCTCAATTGTTCCAAAATCTCATGGGTCTTTAGGGGTCATTCGAATTCTTACACACAGAATGCTGGAACGCTTCAGAAGGAATGGCCGTTGCAGAAACCTGCTAGGCCATCTACTGTTGTCCGTGATGCTCCATCCAATGCTTGTCCCCATCCGTACGATTGTTGGATTTATTCTGTTGAAATCTTGAGGCCTGCGTCTGGATTTCGACCCATTCTATGTCATTTCTTTGCCAAGACTAAAAATCCAGACAAAATGTTACTTCTTTTTGCAGGAAATCTCTTGGATTTCTGCTTCGCAGGGACCCCCCGGCCCTAGTTTTCGTTACCCAGGCGCAAAGAGAAACCATCCATCCTGCAGGGCCCGCACGCAACGTGCATAAGACATCCATCGGAGACATATCTCAACCAAGAACGTGATACCTCCCACGGCTCAGGTCACGAGGAGCCACGGTCCCCAATGGCCAGATGTTGGGTGGTGTACACCATCGGAAGTTTGTGGTGGGCTTACCGCATGACCAACGGATGGGATGGTGCTTCACAGGGCCTGGAATTTTTGACCCTGGTACTGGACTACATTGAATCATCCGGAAGAATGCCTGCCCTGAAGACTTCCCATTGCTACACAAAGTACAGAATGAAGGATTACAGTATAGAGTGTATGTAGAGGTGCTATGATGCACTCAGTGGATGCTCAATACTGATTGAAGCGGACCTCTATATAAGAGGTGCGATCATCAAAGATCAAAGTCTACATGCATTCTTTGTCAAGTCAAGACAGAACAGCTACTGAGATAATTTCATCGAGTACAGTGCAAGATATGGCTGTCTCACCAAGGGTACATACATTGGCCCGACACAGGTTTCTACATGCTAGTTGGAAACAAAATATAATTCTGCACTGAACCCCAAAAAATGGGGTGTTATTACAGATAGATTATCAATATTGATAACCACTGTCCTAAATGTCCTATATGTCTGATGTCGTGTTTGGCCTTTTTTTGGCATCCAAAAATATTCAGTACCACCAAACAAGGCACAAAACACGTTGCCAGACACCAGCAGCGCCGTGTGAACCGCGTCGGCCCTGGTCTCGTCACGTCCAAACTCCACACTGATGGCCATCTCGATACAATTCAAGATCACCACCAACATCCTTGGATTGGACAAAAACCTACTGTGTACATTTTATTGTGTATATATATATATAGAAGTTTTGAGATGGAGATTTTGAAATGGAAAAAGGGGTTCATCCCACCTAGTGAGCCTATAACCCCAGTTTTGGGTGGATCAACCCTACCTATTCGATTTATGACTGGGGATACAACATGTTTTAACATATTTTAAGCCATTTTCGATTCCTGGGGTGAATCGAAAAACACCGACGCCAGGCATCATGAAGCGGTCGAAGTGCGGGTGGCTCACGATTTTGGCACAACTGTTGTCTGCCTTCCTAGGGAAATCTGGGAACCCGAGCCCGCCCTGGGACAACTCGGAGCTGGAGATTAAAGCCTATATGTGATCCAAATAGCTCCCAACATATCCCAACTAGTTTGGGGTGAACAAAAGGGTACCAGGGTTTGGGCGCGGATTGGATCGGGGTCGTTGGATCGGAATCTAGATGGGTCGGATCAGCGCGGCTGGATCGGAATCTGTGGTATAGAGCCCCGACCCATCCTGACCATCCCGATCGTACCAACCATCCCAGCCCAACCGTCCCCCTAAAAGAGACCCTAAAGAAACCCGAAAGAAACCCCAAAAATAACCTTTCTGAAGAACCCTCATCCGGACCATCCCGACCATCCCGAACGACCATCCCGACCCGACCATCCTGACCATTTATCCACGATGTTGATCTAGGATCGTCTTTGACGCTGGTTCTGCGACGCTGATCCGAACCTTTGCATGTTGATTCCAGATGCTGCTCTGTGACGCAGATTACTCACCAGAGTTTGGCCTACAGCTAAAGCCGCCCGCGCTGAAGGTGCCAAGGCGTGAATTTCTGGGTGGGGCGTTTCTGAAACTGACCCCGCGCCAAAAAGATGACTCTCATTGTGGTAATTTGCACCTTTTCCATATCACAACATCAGCCGAAATCACCATTTCGACCCTGCCTTTGCGCAACGGGCTCAACTTGGCCCAACAAGGTCCCAACTTGGGCCCAACTTCGACGTGCATAGCTAACTTAGGGTCCATCTGGGTCGACCCGGGCCCACCTTCAGCCCAACGTGACCCACTGGCTCTGATTTGGGCTGAAGCTTTGGGCCTAAGCTTGGCCCCTGTGGGGGCAGGCCGGCCCAAGCTGGGCCCAACCGGCCAATATTGCCGACTCAATGCAACATGCCCATTATTTCGGCTACGATGGGCAATTTTCCCCCCGTGCGGCTGTTTACAGTACATACCACCATTAGACCCAACGTGAGCCCAAACCTGTCCAAGTTGCGCCATGCTGGACCGCAGTTTGGCCAAAGTTGAGCCCAAGTTGGAGCCATGGGCCAAGTGGCCCGAGTTCGGCGCAAGTTAGGCCCAAGTTGGGGCTCCTGTTCAGCCTGACTTAAGGCCAAGGACGGCCAAGTTTGACACCAGTTGGCTTAGGTTGGGCCAAGCAGGCCCGTGTTCCTCACCCCGCATCCCCAACTACAATACTCCTCAACTTCGAAAAGTCGTCCCTGACCCGCACAATTTCCCTTCCCGCTTCCAGCCCAAAAGCCTTTCAGAAAATCGGGGTGCCAGCGTTGCTCGTCGCGAAGCGACTCGAATAAACAATGATTTATGATTGGTGAAGTGTGACTATCTCATACTAAAACGTTGAACTGCACTGGTCTTGTGAATTGACAAACATCCAAGAATTCGGTTGGGGTCAACATAAAAACTGGAGAAGCTATAGGCTATAGGCTAGTATAGTCTATATTCAAAGTAGAAATCATTCGGGTCTTTGTCAGATGGCAATCCATATGTAGTTCAAATGAGCAAAACCTGCAAAGCCACCACCTGCACGTTTGACCTCTAGTCACTAGCTCTTGGCGAAAAAATCGAAGCTCCCAGGTCCGCAATAGTCCACACCTCATATTTTTTTGGGGGGGATGACTTCCCATTAAGACACACCATCAGGTAGGCCAGGTAGGCCAAGGAGGTCGCTTCTCCAAGGGTCTCTTCGAAGGCCATTGAGGTCAGGGCGTGCATTTGAACTGACTCAATGGAGAACTGGGAGCGCATCCCACCTCGACATGCGCATACCATCCAATGGAACAAGCTTTTCTGTTGGGGCCAATATTTTCATATGTTCATTCAAATACTGTGTATATATATAATATGTATATATATATTATAATATATATATATACACATGCATACATGCATAGATTATGTTCTTTTAATAATACTCATAGATAAGAAATGTCGCTGCTAGCCCGAAAGCGTGATTTTCGCAGGGATGCGATATGTAAAGTTACGCAGGGCGTTGCAATTTAAGTAACTTGAGTGCGCCCAAAACTGTGTGTGTTTGGTGCCCCCGAGAATGTCTGGACAGAAATCGATCGCCATGTGGTTAGGCTCTAGACTCTAGGCATATGATGGGTTGAAAGTGGACAAATGCCTCTGTTGTGCAATTTTAGAGGGGCGGCCAGCGCTGAAGCTACCCAGTCAACACCATAGGAGAACCCATCAGGATCCATCACCGAGGCTCCAAAGATGCCGTTGCCCTCCAGCGATTTTCGCCAGGGCAGATCTTTCTCCTGACTGCGTAGAATCCTTGGCGTCCAGTGCCAAATTCTTTTGGGATCCAAGTGAAGCTGACCTATTGTTCCTGGCCAACCCATGTTGAACCCTGGAAGATGTGGCGCAACGACCCAAATCTGCACCGATTGCCTTTTCAGTTGACTGCTTTTGCACCAAGAGTCTGTCCCCACCCTTGTCCCTGATGTTCCCGAAGTCCACTGGAAAAAGGGTCCAAATATCGGATTAGAACTGCGAACATGTTTTGTTCACTTTGGGAATTTTAAGCCCAGATGTTTATGATTTGTCAAAATCACCACTGGGAAAAAAAACACCGTTTGGTCCAGTTTTAGTATTACTGTGTCGTAATCTAACAGAGCGATGCTATGGCCGCTATGGAAAATTGCCCGTGAAAGTAGATGGTTTATGTAAATTGACCTGTTGTTTTGATGCTGGTCTTCTATCCACCTCACTACAGTACCAGAGGGTGACAGTTTTATGCTTGTGGGTGCATCAGTGGATATATGAAGCCATAGTTGTAGGGGCCCCATATCCCAAATGTTTGACAATGAAATCACCATGGTCATAGCCATAAGAATTGTTCGTTGCAATATCCCATAATTTCCCAATTTTATGTATCAGATATCATTATATCCTCATGATGCGACCATTTTGGTTGGTTAAATCACCATGTTTTATTTGGGAAGGGATTGTCTCCCCAATATTTGTTGGTCAGTTCTATCCCTGTCAACATATTGACCTCTTGAAACCTCATTAGATTCCGTTAAATCCCAATTTTTGTTGCTCACATCCCCAAGTTTGGTGGTTGTAACTCAAATGCAGCCCCAAGTGACGCATACCCAATGTCCAAGGCGCTGGCGCTTGCCCATCTCGCTTCCTCGGTCACTTTGTCGTGGGGAGCAAAGGTCCTGTGGTGAAGAAACACGTGCCAGGGACCACGGGATGGGTGAGAAACGTCCCAAAAATGGTATGGGTTATAGTAAAATGTGGGAAAAAACAATCAAAAATATCGGAGAAACACTCCTCAAAGTTGCTAAAGCCCATCCAAAAGCTATGTTTTCTCTCCAGGGTCTGGACCCCGTCCTGCGCGGCCTGGGACCGGAAGTAGTTGCGGCCCTTCTGTTTCTTCGACAGCGACGGTAGGAAAGCTTTCGGATCGGTTCTGCTTCGTGGCTGTGCCGGGACCACACTGGTACCCAAGTCCTGACCGAAAGGAGTCGCCTCCTGAACCTGACATCCATTGAAACTAGGGCCACTAGGGATTTGGATTGGAGGGAAAATCCACAGGAAACCATCATTTTTCCCATGAAACATGGGGGGGTGGTCCTGTAAATGTTCCCTTTGACCAATTCAATGAAACTAAACTAGAGGGGGGCAATCAGGGATTGTAGAACTGTTTGCAATATCTTGCAATCATCGCCAATCGCGGGTGATCCAAAGACTTGCTACTGGGCAGACCCCTCAATTCGGAATCTTTGGAACTGCTATCATTAAACCTATCAAGCAGTGGCTCAGAATTCGTCCAAGTTGGGCGGTCGTTGTTTGTGAGACATGTCCATATGGCTACGGATTTTCAACCCTGGTATCCTAGCACAAAAACGTGGCTGGTAATGTAATGAATTTTCATCTCCCCAAAGTCCGACTATCGTTTTTAACGCAGTCCCATTAACTAGTAACTATTAACATCAACCATAGTTGCTTAAACTATTATAAACTATTAATCTATTAAGTATTCACATTAACTATTATCCCATTCATGTTGGGTCTATATGTTTATGACCCATGCCCATTCCCCCGTCAAGTCGTCCTCTCCCAGTTGACCAGGTGGGCGTGGACGGTCGGTCAAACTCCGATCTTCCACCTTGGAAATCAAGGCCGTTGGGGAGCGGCCACACATGCAACAGATCGTGTTCCTCACATCGTTGAACTGGGCTATATGTGCATGCATATATATATATATATATATATATATATATATTGTTGTTGTTGTTGTTGTTGTTGTTGTTATTAATACTACTATTCATAATGATTATATAATTATATAATTGTATATACATATATATATATACATTCATAATTATATATATTATAATGACTAATTCATCTGTCTATACACAATATACTATGTATATATATATACGATATTATGTAAATCATGTCAGTATGTATATATATATTATACAGTTGTATTTACCAAGGCCCCACACCTTTCCCCAATCTGTTTCGGGTCGAACATGTTGGTTTGACCTAGCGACCGAATAAGCCAGAGGTGATGCATGCTCCTGCACCAAAAGTTTCCATGTGTCCAATAGGTGAGGGCCATGAAGTACAGGATGTTTCTTGATCATGGCACTGGTGAAATGATGGGATGACTTAAAAGCAAGGTGGACAACGTGGGGAAGAAACATCTTCCTCTCTCTCTCTCTCTCTGAAATTATATCAAAAGATCAAAATTGTATTATGGAATTATTGAGGCATCACGGCATCACTGGTTTCTCTAAAGCTAGCCCGCACTTTCACCGAATATCCACTACTTTCAATCCTTCTTCTACTTTGTATGGGCCAAGCTACTGCCCAAAAAAAGTGGCAGATCTAACACTGAAAATGACCAAACAATCTATGGTCGATTGGACCTCTGGGTCCCATCCTTATCTGATTGGCATCTGGTTATGGGTCAAAATGTTGGTACCCAAAGAGTGGATCAGGCTACAGACCCAAAAAGACATGGTGTGTCTGGAAGTGGGATTTTCATATGGCAATTTTCATATGGCAAAAAACATCATTGTCCAAGGGATTCCCCATGCGTGTCCAAGTTGGTCCTCTTGATCCGCTTTAAGAAAAAAACTCGCAGAGTCCTGCATGGTCACGCTCCGTCGCTCTCCCGAGAATCTCTCCACCTTGGTCGAAGAGAACGGATCCATAGGGAAACCTGTGGGGTCATGATCAACTATCAATGCATCATCAACTATACAGCACCAAAGATGATGCTAATGCTGGTAGATGCTAGCTGCTTGTAGTAAATCACTGACCCTCAACCAATTCTGAGAGTGTCCAACCAACCCTCCTGGGTCAGCTACCATCCCCAGGGATCCACCAGCTGCACCCAATTTCATAAGCCACGATTCTGAGGGAAACTCTTCATGATTAAAATCCTGAATCCCCCATTCCGATGGATTCTCATCATTATTCCTTTCAGAATTCTACCCTTCAAGGGGTATAGCAACATATAGTAACCCCCAAAAGAGATCTTGGATAAACTCACGTTAAAATCTGCAAAAAAAAATGAAAACCCCAACCCCAACAGATTTTGCCACTCAATTTAAGAGGATTGGACCTTTCTAAACTTGTTGTTTTTGTCTTTTTGCCAAAGTCACAGGAGATAGTGGGCCACGAGAGCCCGGAGAACCCACCAGCTCAATGGATTGCGTTTCCATCGGCCGCAGCTGGCGGATTTCCTGCAAGGAACATGATGAAAAAAAATGAAACATGATGGAAAATGTCCCTGTGTTTAAAAAAAAACTATCTTGGCAAAGTTGGCTCGTGGGGGAAAAAAAACGAAGACATGCGGACATGTGGATGTGACTCGACGAGTCACATCATCCAGTTTGCGGAAGATCTCGGCATGCACCGTGCTCAAGGTTTCTCTCACGCCCCTCAAAGCCACAAGCGTCGGATTCCTTAGCCGCGACGGTGTCGGCCACAGACCAACTGAATCCGACTGCTCCATGTCTGTTTTCTCCATGGCAACTGGATCAGGTATCCCTTCCTCTATTGCAGGGATTGTCATGGTTGAATGCTCACCCACAAGAGAGCAAGATGAATCTTGCCACGGTCAGTTTGGTTGCTTGAATCCTAACTCTTGGTTGCTAAAATCCCATTATTTTCTCGGTTGCACAAGGAAATCCCAACTTGAGCCCTGTTCAAAACCCTATGAATCCCTTTCCCTTCAAAAACTGGTTGGTGGATCAGATTTCTGATGGATTCTGATCCCAATATTGGTAGAAGTCCCGAACCAATCATCAACCAGGGCTTTTGAAGGCCCCAGTTGCTCTGCCACATGAAGATTCGGCGGGTCGTCATCCTTGGGATCGACATGGTGAGGATCCTCTGGTATGTTCCTGATTTTAGCTGTGAAATCCGTGTGTATGTCTATATACATATATATATATATACATACATACATACATACATTACATTACATTACATTACATTACATTACATTACATTACATTACATACATTACATACCATACATTACATACCATACATTACATACCATACATTACATACCATACATTACATACCATACATTACATACCATACATTACATACCATACATTACATACCATACATTACATACCATACACATACATTACATACCATACATTACAATACATACATACATACCATACATACACATTACATACATACATTACATACCATCATACAATAACCATACATTACATACCATCATTACATACCATACATTACCATAACCATACATTACATACCCTACATTACATACCATACTTACATACCATACATTACATACCATACATTCATACCATACATTACATACCATACATTACTAACATCCATTACACAACCATACAATACATACCATACATTAACATACCATAACATTTACATACCATACATTCTACCAATTTTTTACATTACATACATACATTACATACCATACAATTACATCCCATAACATTACATACCATAACTTCATACCAAACATTACATACCGGTACATTACATACCATACATTACATACCAATACATTACATACCATACATTACAATCCATACATTACCGTACAATACCATAATACATTACATACCATACATTACATACCATACATTACATACCATACATTACATACCATACATTACATACCATACATTACATACCATACATTACATACATTACATTACATACATTACATTCCATACATTACATTCCATACATTACATTCCATTACATTCCATTACATTCCATTACATTCCATTACATTCCATTACATTACATTCCATTGCATTCCATTGCATTCCATTGCATTCCATTGCATTCCATTGCATTCCATTGCATTCCATTGCATACCATTGCATACCATTGCATACCATTGCATACCATTGCATACCATTGCATACCATTGCATACCATTGCATACCATTGCATACCATTACATACCATTACATACCATTACATACCATTACATACCATTACATACCATTACATACCATTACATACCATTACATACCATTACATACCATTACATACCATTACATACCATTACATACCATTACATACCATTACATACCATTAAATACCATTACATACCATTACATACCATTACATACCATTACATACCATTACATACCATTACATACCATTACATACCATTACATACCATTACATAACATTACATACCATTACATACCATTACATACCATTACATACCATTACATACCATTACATACCATTACATACCATTACATACCATTACATAACATTACCACTAGCATTACCATACAATACATACATTACCAATACATCCTACATTCCCATACATAATACATTACCAAACTACATACTTAACCATACATACATCATTACCTACCATACATACATCATCACCATACCTAACATACATACATACCATAACCCTACATAACATACATTACCAATACATACATACATAAACCTTAACCATACCATACATTAACATACATTAACATACCATACATACCTCATTACCATACCATAACATACATAACTACCATACCATACTAATACATTACCATAGAACTACCATAACTACATCCCTTTACCATACATCCATACATTACATACATATTACATACATTACATGCATTACATGCATTACATGCATTACATACATTACATACATTACATACATTACATACATTACATACATTACATACATTACATACATTACATACATTACATACATTACATCCATACATACATCATTACCATACCAATACCATACCAATACCATACCAATACCATACCAATACATACCAATACCATACCATACCATACCCATACCCATACCCATACCATACCCATACCATACCCATACCATACCATACCCATACCCATACCATACCCATACCATACCCATACCATACCCATACCATACCCATACCCATACCCATACCATACCATACCATACCATACCATACCATACCCATACCCATACCATACCCATACCCATACCAATACCATACCAACACCATACCAACACCATACCATCACCATACCATACCCATACCATACCCATACCAATACCATACCAATACCATACCCATACCATACCCATACCATACCCATACCCATACCCATACCCATACCCATACCCATACCATACCCATACCATACCCATACCATACCCATACCATACCCATACCATACCATACCATACCATACCATACCATACCTACCATACATACCATACAATACCATACATACCATACATACCATACATACCATACATACCATACATACCATACATACCATACATACCATACATACCATACATACCATACATACCATACATACCATACATACCATACATACCATACATACCATACATACCATACATACCATACATACATACATACCATACATACCATACATACCATACATACCATACATACCATACATACCATACATACCATACATACCATACATACCATACATACCATACATACCATACATACCATACATACCATACATACATACCATACATCCATACCCATACATACCATACATACCATACATACCATACATACCATACATACCATACATACCATACATACCATACATACCATACATACCATACATACCATACATACCATACATGACATACATACCATACCATACCATACATACCATACATACCATACATACCATACATACCATACATACGGTACATACCATACATACCATACATACCATACATACCATACATACCATACATACCATACATACCAACATACCATACATACCATACATACCATACATACCATACATACCATACATACCATACATACCATACATACCATACATACCATACATACCATACATACCATACATACCATACATACCATACATACCATACATACCATACATACCATACATACCATACATACCATACATACCATACATACCATACATACCATACATACCATACATACCATACATACCATACATACCATACATACCATACATACCATACATACCATACATACCATACATACCATACATACCATACATACCATACATACCATACATACATACATACATACATACATACATACATACATACATATATACATATATATATACATACATATATGTGGATGTAACAGAACTGGGATAGATATATGAGTTGCCATAGTTGGGATATAAAGTAATTAGAAGAAGTTTAGAAGTGTAAACTCCGTGATATGGATTTTTAAAAATGCGGTTAGACGTAGGGAAGTGAAGAAAGAGAAGTGAAGAGATTAGATTAGAGGAGTGAAGAAAGTAGAGAAGCGAATACTAGGAAGTCTGAAGAGTAGAGAAGTGAAGACTCGAGAATAGATAAGTGAAGAGAAGGGAAGTCGGGAGAAAGGGGTCTCAAAAAAGAAACTGCCAAAGAAAGGGATGCAAAGAAAAAAAGATAAAAAAAGAAACTGTCAAGAGGATGAAGTGTCAAGAGACAGCGGTGACTCGACGAAAAAGATCGACAAAAGTGTGTCAGGTCAGCTTCAGAGCTGTCAAGAGGAAGAGCAAGACATGTCAAGATATGTCAAGATATGTCAAGGGCAAACCGGAGAAAGTGGAAACATCAGAAAAGGATATGCCAAGTAGAAAGAGATGCCAAGGAGAAAGAGATGCCAAGGAGAAAGAGACCTCAGTATACCTCAATAAAGTTAAGACAGACAACGGCTTTGGCATCCAATGGCATCCATGTGATCTGGCTTCGTTCCTATTGGCTTTCCCTATTGTTACTTCCGCCGCCTGGCTTGCCCGGGCTCTACTTGTATCTACTGGGATATATTCACTGGGGTTACCCTCCCAACTAAAAGTAACTTTTATTTCGACCCGGCCATGAGTTGGGGATTAAACTGATTAAATCAAAAACTCAACCAAAAAATTGGTGATTCTCAAATATGTCTAAAACAAGTTTAAGACCCTAAGTCATCCTAAGTCGTGTTCAAATTTTCATGGGACGTGTTCAACCCAACCATGTCCGGTGCGATGTTTTTTTCTCCCCATGATCTGTCATAGCTGATTTGATCGCTGATTGAATGGGATCCTTTTATGGCGCATCCAGCATTTTGGGCCATGTGAGGTCTCTGGAAAGCAAATCCCAGGCTTCCGTGGTACAGATTCCCTGATTCCAACAAACCAGCTCTGATGCAACCGAATTCGACACTTCTCCCCATTCATTTCGGCGGCCAACCAGAACCCATCCCAAAGAACTAGGTCCAGATGCTGGAGCTTTCAACATGTCCAGACTTTGAAGGGACCCACATGGGTTGTGTTCCTCGTCCGAAAGAACTCGCCCCGCCGTTCGCGTGCTGCTGGACATGCCGCTCGAAGTCAACAATAAATGCTGACACCGAGCCGAAATGCTCAATCCATCCATTGGCAACCCTGGATTGGGAGGGTCACCCCTCAAAATAATCACAATTTATATATATATATATAATTTTGGTAACCCCAACAGCAATATTTACTGGGGGTTTACTTTTCCTGGGTCAAATTTATGTCTCAGACCTTGAGATTCAAAATAGCCCCAAAATGGCTCCCAAAATAGCCATTCATTCTTGGGTGGTGTATCGAATAATTTGGAGGGATGACTAGCTGCAGCACCCCTCCTGAAAATTGCCCTGATGGCGCCAGCTGCATGCCATTTTTCAGCCAATTGCCACACTCACCCTTTGGTGAAACTTGGCAGTGTCCAACGCGGAGGGTCGTACCAGTATCCAAGACAGGTTTTTTCACGTTGAGTTCTGGAGCTTGAAATTGGGAGTACCGTCTTTCACCTCTCCCCATGTTTTCAATATATGTTCACCCTAAGACAACAGCTCTTCAAACTGTCCAGTCGCATCCTTCACCCCAAAAGATAGCATCAAGATACAGATAGATTTACCGTGATTCACCCACCAAAACTAAGTAATTTCAACCCATCTCCATCGGTTCGGGCCGTTAAAGCGCCACGTTAAATGCCACTGGCTTTCCACCTTTGCGCCTTAGGAGGCTTGGCTAACCCAAAGGCCTCGTTTTCCGGTGCATCAAAGGTGAAGAACTCGTCGCCCGAAACGCCGCCCTCCAGGGTGGACCAGGGCATAATCTCCTGCGGGGAAAAAAACACTTGGGAGATCATTCGCTGTCTATGATACATACATATATATGTATATTAATATGTGTGTGAATATGTACACATATATAGATATGTACGTATGTATAATATATATATATATACATACATGCATACATTACATTACATTACATCACATCACATCACATCACATCACATTACATTACATACATTACATACATTACATTACATTACATTACATTCCATTCCATTCCATTCCATTCCATTTCCATTCCATTCCATTTCCATTCCATTCCATTCCATTACATTACATTACATACATACATACACGTATGTACTAACTATATATATACACATTTATTATATATATATATATATTCATATGTATATCGCAATGTATGATATGTATGAGTATATTCCACCTATTTCTGGAAAGTCAAAAAAATCGGGAGCGGGGATGGTTCTGATGCTTGTGACAAACTTACCCGCATCACCTTCAGATCCGATTTTTGTCGAACATGTGTGATATTTTCATTCAAGCTGGAAGCGAAGGACGCCCAAATCAGATTCTAGGAGAATGATGTTCCCTAGTTCGTGTCTTCCTTTTCCCTGTTCCATATCTATTTGGGCTTGTCTGAAACCTGCAATTCCAATGGATTACTATTCTCATGATCATCCATAAATCTGTGGCTTTGGGGCTGTTACCATGTATTACCCATTGTGAACCCATTTAGAAAGGCCGTTCAAAGAGCTCAAGTTTGTTCTCTTCGTTTTGCCGCACCTCCAATTGTAAGCCCTCAAAGCTGTAGATGCCTCCAGTACTCACGGCCTCGGGTTGTTTCTTCCCAGGCAGCTGCCCCTCTGCATCCACTGAAAAGTCATCTTGGCCTCGGTTTTTGGCTGTTTGGGAACCTTTTTAATGTGAATCCTGATGGCCCTACAGCACAAAGGCAGTTGACCATGGTTCAAAATGAGGTGCTGAGTTCGGACAAGAAACTCCCAAGAAACTGACTCCACGCGTCTTGAATCTATGAAAAAAAACACTTGGATCTTCGTCATGACAACAGAATTGATCAAAATTTGGTGAATATGATTCCTCAATATCCAAAAAAACTATGTTGCTCGGGTAATTCTGAGCGTACCCACTCTCAGAAGATCTCAAAAGTATCTTACCCAACAGGACGTAAAATAAACAGACAAAATCACACCACTGGATTTCTTCCATTTTTCCCCATGTTCCCCATTTCCAACCCCAAAATCTCTCCAAGCCACTGTCACTCCCAACGAGGTGCCCCAGGGCAGCCGCATAGACGGCCGCCCCCAGCACGGCCGCGTGGTCCGGACGCAGCACCTCGCTGGGGGGTTGGCCTCGGAAGAAGTCCTTCACCAGGCGACGGAAGCGCGGGATCCGGGAGGAGCCGCCCACCAGCACCACGTCCACAGAGTTCCTGGTGGATTTTTGGAAAATGGAGGAGTTCCGCAGGGAATTCATATCATGGGATGGTGCAGGTGGAAGTTCATTATCTAAATTCATGGAGATATATGAAAAAAGATAGAATCGAGTCTAATCCATTCATGATTTCAAATCCCAGTCCGGAAGCCGGATGAAACAGGTTGGCGTGGTTGAATGTGAATTTTCCTAGCCCGATTCCGGGTGGATCAAAAGGAGATTCACCACCTTGCAGCAGTGATCCCAGTTTAGTTTCCCAACAGCTTGGATGAATTCCCAATTGGAGGAATGGGTTGATTTTGATTTCAGCTGCGCCTCTCCAGTCCGGATTCCTCGAGGCAAATGTCGAAGATCTCCAATAGGCAGTCGATATCCCGACTGCAGAACTCTTCGAAATAACTGCGGGACATTGCCACGCAGTAGTCGTTCCCTTGCACCAACGCTTCCACATTGACGCGTGTTTGATTCCATTGCGAGAGCTTACGTTTGGCATTCTCGCAGGCCATGGAGAGTCTCAGGACGGCAACCCAGTCATTACTCATATCAACGCCCAGCCGAATTTTGATGTCAGTCAAACAGAACTTGACCAAAAGAGAGTCCAGGTCGATGATTTCACTTCCCACAGCCCTCTCGTATAGACTCTTTCCCCGCAAGGTCAATAAGCAGAAGTCGCAATAGCATGCGCCAAAATCCAGGACCAAAATTTCCCGCGGAGTTTCCCGGGGATTGGTCAAGGAGAAGGCGATCGCTGCGGCGGATGGCGCTTTCACCAGTGCCAACACCTCCAGATGTGCCATGCGACACGCTTCTTCTAGGGCTTTTCGCTGCTGTCGACCATACTTGGCTGGCACCGTTACAACCGCGGATCTCACGTGTACCCCCAAACATTGTTCCACTTGCCTGAGGAACAACGCAATAAAATGCGCATTGCCGTGCAGCACGCACCATTTTCCACCGTCGGTTTTGGGGCAAAACGTAGCATCAGCAACAATGGGGAACAGCCAATTTGCAATCCTTATTCGAAAATAAGAAGAGTTCCAGCAACGGGCTCCCCTGACTCTGACCACATCCTATGGTGAAAGAGTAGTTGATCCCCACAAATTTTGGAGACACACACGCACACACACACACATATCAGGCACCAACACAAACTGTCCTGCCGGTAATTTGTCCCAAGTTCCAGCTCCTCCCAAAAGTTGTGTGATATGTGTCTGCATCCACATTTTTTGCATTCCATTTCCATGGCCACAATATACATGTGTATATTGTATAATATATATATAATATGTCAATTTACAACATTTTATATTAGGTGCTGTATATCTTTAGGATACATTGACTACTGTATATATATATACATACATGTATCTTTACATCAAAAAGAGCCCAACTCGCCTCTTCATCTGTTGCAACAGAATCGCCAAGATCTCCCCCGGTTCCAAGATCTTCACCTTCCCCCGGTCGCGCACGCGATACATCGCCGAGCCATCGTCCCCGCGCACGATCTCCGGCGGCCCGCTCATGCGCAGGCGTTGAGCCCAGGGACTGTCGTAACTGGCCTGTAGAAAATCTGAAGCGGGAAGCCTAAAATGAAAAACACAAGGATTTGCTGTACATGTTCCCAAAGAAAAAGAGTATTCTTTTGAAGAAATGCCAAGGAATCCAAACATGATATTTGTCGAATGTCTCAGAACAAAGAAAGAGAAAAGACTGAAAATGATAAAGCGGGCTCACAAGAACCTCCAAAACAATGTATACCTGAAGTATACCTCCCAAAAAATATACCTCATTTGGAAAACATCCATCTGCTCCCCAGCTATGCTCTATTTTGGTTCCACAACAGCTTCCACCCTTTCATGCGTCGCATCAAGTGGCTCCCAGCAATCTCTGCGGTGCAAAGACGGTGTTGGCCAAGTTATGCGCCGCTTGCTCCGTGGCCGCTTCCCCCACCACAGGGGAAGTGAAATCCATGAAGCCAACACAGTTGGGCGTGGCTAAACAGCCTGGAAGTGCCAGTGCTGGTGCCCGGTGCCCCTAAGAAAAGGGGAAACCAAGGTAAACGTGGGTTTATAGTGGATAATTACGTGGTTGGATATATGATGGATATGTGGGTTTAGGTGCCTAGGTCAACATAATATGGCTTTATGGTGGACACTTGCATGGTTGGATGTGTAAACACAAACCAACAAGCACAACTGCGGGGGCCCACATTGTGCTTCAAGATGATCAGCAGAGGTTCAGTTCCGGATCATTGTTTTGCTCAGCGAAAGGGTAGTAATACAATGTAATGCACCTCTTTTGATAAATGGATGATGACAAAATGAGAAATATATGACTATGAAAACCCCAAGATTTCTTGAATCATGGCTTGGGTATTCTCTTGCTCTTGACTCAGATGTAGATCAGCAGTGATGACCAGTAAATCTATGGCTCCACTTGTAGCCTACCCTGGTGCCCTGGTGCCTCGATCGTTGGGCACGATGAGGACGTCACCATCTCGCCATAGACCGATGCGACAGCTGGAACTCCCGAGGTCGATTCCCACCGCGGACGTGTTCGGCTCCGGCATCGCCGCGGCCCGCAGCACCAAGGGCCCTGGAGGGCGACGTCAAGCGCGGGCGGCACATGGCCGGGGCAGATCTGAAACGGAGAATCTTGAGATTTCTTGTTGGGCTATGGCGTTTTTCAAGAACGGTCCGAATCTTTTGGTGTGACTTGGGGCTCCGGCAAAACTTAGGAATGAGTCGGAATCATCTGAAGCTTCCAAAGTTAAGCTAGAGCCAGAGAGAAACCACAGCAAATGCAGCCAAGTTGGTGCAGCTTTTGAGCAACTGCCGGGGAGCGAGAACTGGATCAAGCAGGAGCAGAGTGGGGGCGACTCAACATGCTTTATATACTCTGGAAATTTTGAACACGGCCTTTCTTCTGAACGTAAAGTGTCACAGTCATACCAAGCTGGTATATATGGGGCACAGCTTGCAAGCCAGGGTTTCGTTCTAAGATGGGTATCCTTCCCAGAATAGTTATATAACAAACTCTCAGTTTTGATGAGATTGTATCCTTATATATCCTTATCTCTTTGCTGCTCCTATATCCACACATCACTTTCTTGTCGTACTGATGTGTTTATGTGTTGTTTGTACACAAACCAACAGGAGCACTTTGATGTTGCCTCTCCAAGGAGGTTGATTTTTTCCAAAGGGGTCACAAACTCCGGGATGGTTTTTTTGAGGGGATGGCGCGCCATCCTTCACCAACAACATGGTTTCTCTGAAAATGGGAATACCATGGAATAGCCATAAAATGACATTTGAATGATAGAAAAAATATGGAAAAATGATGATGAACCAATGAATCATGGGATTTTTTTCTGGAGATGTTCAACCAATCCCAGGGGATTGCGGTTCCAATGCTGATCCAATTGGGTCACCATGGCCCGGGACCGCGCACTTGGGCAATGAGTTTCTTGGCTCAGCCGCCTGCCATATGACTGTTGGAATCTGGGTTCCTCAAATGGGGCTACCATGGGCTACCCCAAATCCTGCAAGTCATGGATGACCTGGATGACCATTTACGTATTGCAACCCTGACTTGCGGATCCCCCTTTTTGTAAGGAAACCCCCAATCTATTCATGGATCCATCGCATCGAATCTCATGAGATGCTACCACAACGGCTGCAAACCCAATGAAAATAGGGATATCTTTTAAAACATCTCTGCTGTGAGACAAGGAAACATGACCGTTTTCGGCCAGTTGCAATAGCAACACTTCGATTGTAAAGTTACCTAGATGGCATGCTGCGATTTGACCTACCAGAAGAGAACCTCTCCCTGTTTACATCAACCTACTGAAGAGCCAATGTGCGGATGTTCCAATACCAAAAAAACACGGTGCTTGTCAAGGTTCAATCTTGTATCACAGTATCATTTTTCCCGAAAATGCCACATTCAACCAAGAAAAACTTGTTGTTTTTTAGTTTTGACCCATTTGCTACATATCTTTGCCACGTGGCCACGTGGCCCACACGTTTCTGAGTTTCCCCACGGCCGCCGCGGGAAAGCTCGAAAGCAGCAGCCCCATCAGAAGGCCGCGGCGCGCCTTGAACTCATCGGCGAAACATCCTCAAAATGGTGGATATAAGCTATATAATGATATGGTAATAATATACCATTATATATATATACCACATCCAGATAATAATATTCACATCACCCTTATATATATATATATCTGAATGGTATATATTTTGTATAATGATAATGGTAATCTGAAGATTTCCATCTCTCCATAGAAAAAGGTGATGAAATAGAAATGTTCATCATATCTTAATGGAAATATGCATGATCATCAAATAAATGAACATGTTCCCATCAGTATTAATTATCAAACATCCACATTTGAGATCAAACAAGTGATGATCAAGACGGGTGGAGATGTGGAGATGAAAGGCGCGGGATCATCGGGATCTATTCATGGAAATATGTTGTTATCAAACGGGATAATATCAGCAAGAATGGGGGAGATCATCAAAAAAAATGGCGTTATGTGGACAAAAACTATGGCAACTATGGCTGAAACAAGATGAAACAAGTAGATTCCCCAGGGCCACCGCCTCGACGGCATCAGTGCTTGCTCCTCGAAAAAAAGGGAATTTGGCACCATGGGGGTTGACCCAGAATAATATTGACAGAATGGGCAAATCTGTTGAGATGTGGGTTTCTCTGAAAATGTTCACACAACTCCATTCCACCCATGGTTGAGGAATGTGTTTTCCGTATTTTCTATATGGCAGTTATGTGAACCCATGTTCACTTTCTGAAATTCTTCAGGTGACATGTGATTTTGTTACAGTACCTACCGAAGCATGTTGGATGCAATCCGTAGGTGAATGAGAAAAGACATCACGGGACCCCCGCTCGAACAGTTATCAAGGCGTGAAGGCTCTCCGAACTAGATTCCCTGTTGGGGGAAATTGTCACTAAAATTGAGTTGAGAGCTAAAGTATAGTTGTTTGGGTGAAGAATCTCTAAAGTCTAGTTGTTTAGCTGTTCATTCACCCTCTCTCCTGGTCTTAGGGCTTCGTGAATGAAGCATGGCAAAGCGCTAGCTGCTAGCATTACCTGAGTATTGAAACCCAGGAAGTGCATCAGGAATTGCGTCAGAAATGCATCTGCACACCCCCTCAAAAACAAGGAAAGGAGCTCTGATTATTCCATCTTCAGAGATTTCAACGGAGTTCCCAATTCTCCGAGGCAATCGAGTGAATCATCACCAAAAAAACTCACAGATAGCCGAGAAAGAATCCAACCTGTTGAGGGATTTTTTGTCACATGGCTCTTAGGCAAATTTCGGGGAAACCATGGAGTTAGGAATCAGCTACCACCTCTATTTCAATGGATAGGTAGATGTTCCATTTATAGTGGGGTTTCGAGAAAGTAGTGTTCCTTGAGTTCCTTGCCGTAAAGCCAATCAGCATATGTGGATGATCAAAACATAGCAAACGGGGGTATGGTCATCCATCCCATAATTTGAATCCTTAATAATCCTTATAATGGGTATATAAATCCGTATTGATGGATTTATATGGATTTATGACCATCTGCTAAGGACTGGGTATGTAATCCAGCTTTGGACCCTGCCACTGCCATTGGCAAAGTACAGCGCATAGTGCTATGCAGACTGGCCGTCGTCTCTTCCAAGGTCGCATGCTCCTGCGACCTCGGCACCAGGTATTCTCGGTAGGATCAGAAATGGCTTTGCCCATCCCCAATTCGGGTTTGCTTGGGCATACCTGTAGGATTTATTTCATAGTCCCCAAATCATAGTTGCTAGTAGTTTTTTTTCACTGCCTCTCACTAGATTTCTTCCATCCCCAAATAGGACAATGTTGGTGGTCCCCAAATTCCACTCCGAGCCACAAATTGCCGCGCAGGGGCTCGAGCGCCGAGCCGCTGGTTTTTCCAGGCCGCTTCTTGAACCGTCAACGGGCCGACGACTGGTACCCCACCAACTATTGGTTACGTACCATCATTTACCTCTTGGTTGTGAAGCATGGAGGTTACCCCTCGATTTATCCACCAATCAGTTGGAAGAGTCTGGAAGAGAACATCTATGGCTGGGGGTCGTCGCCAACTTTGATGGGGAAACCTCTTGGAATTCCACCAAAACAAAAACAACTTGAGAGGGGGGGGACGAAAGGTAGGGGGGGAAGACAGGAGGGAGAGGCAAGAGAAGGTGCGACTGTTTGTAACGCAAGCACGCCGACGACGACGACGACTACTACTACTAATACTACTACTACGACTACTACTACTATGACGACTACTACTACCACTACTACTACCACTACTACTACTACTACTGCTACTACTACC